CTGAAACCTACAAATCCTCCATGTAATTCCATTACGGTTTGCACCATGAAGACTATTCTTCTCCTCCACTGATCCTGCTATTGACGGTCAAATTCATATATTCTAATATCAAACAAGCCATTAAAACACTAAAACGCCCCAGCAGAGCTGGCGCAAACGGAGCACCACCACATTTCCATAGATATAGTGACCCGGATGTTTCACGGCTATCTCAAAATATTTTCTGCGTCTTTAGAACCACTCGCATATGCCCCGATATCTGGAAAACATCACTTATCCTACCTGGGTATAAATCTGGTTCAACAACACTGGCCAGCGATTACAGACCGATAAATGATAATAATTCATTCCTGAATTTAAGCCTGCAGTTTCTAGAAATATGGAGAAAGTTATCGAGGAGGGCGTCCTTCAGCGGAGGCTTAGTAATAAGTTAACCACATGGGATGAATGTGGGTTCATAAAAATTCGGGGTCCTGGATAGCTTTCCATCCCGGCTTCTTTAACTTCACAACTATCGTGCTTCACCGATCTCAATCATTCCTTGTATTTTGCCTGGACATTTCAAGGGGTTTTGATACGGCCGATCACTTATTGCTGATAAGTAAGTTGAAGTCCCTGGGAATTGACCATCCACTACTGAGATGGATTTAATATTCCCTCATTAAATACATTGAAGCGCTGAAAGTGGGCTTCCACACTTCAAAACCTATGCCAATTACATCTAGCCTAGTTTTGGGTGGTGTATTAGGTCCCTTCCATTTACTTTAGACGTCAATGACGTTTGCATCCACTTTACGCACGGCAAACCATTCTCGTTTGCTGATAACCTAAAAGTTGCATACACACCTTCATATGCTGCTTTATCCCCCTTACAGGCTACAGTATGAAGGGGGCTCGATATAACATCCACATAACCTACCACCTGGAAACTTCAGTCTAATACGAGCGAATGCGGCTGGAAATGTTTTGGTGCTCCATCTGCAGGCGTCGGACTACACCCTCAGTCTATGAAACTATCCGTTCCTAATTGTCTGTGATCTTGGGCTAAGATACTCATTTTTTATGAGCAAGTGACACAACAGACTGGCAAATCAAGGATCTCATTGGGTTGCATAGTCCGTAACCTCCATCTCGAGGAAGACTAATTACTTGCGTACATCCGCTACAAGAATGATATCCGTTTGTGATGAGTGGTATCCGCATCAGGGACGAACCGAAAGTAAAGGGTGTCCGAAGGTATTTGCAACCAGGTCACTAGGATACGACTGCACACAGTAATACAATTCCAGATAGAGAACCCCGAATCCAGAACCACCTTGGATAAGGTGGCCCAAACTTACCCTGCCATTTCTGCAACGTGTTACACAAGTTCGCTTATGGAGCCAGTGGTGAGTTGTAGCTCGCGGACAGTAGTTGTTATGACCTCTGCAACCACTCCTGCGGCGTCACAGAGAACCCGTGTAATCCTGCTTCGGCTTGCACCTCCTCACCGTGAAATCCTCTTGGATTTGAGTCGGATTTCCCGCCACATTGGAAGCGTCCAGATCAACCTCCGAATTTAGTTGGTTACTAGTTGGTTAGAACTACCTTGGAATCCTGGTATAATGTATCCCGAACATTCCCTTGAGAAATAAAGATAAGTGAGTGTAGAACCAGGGGACGAAGGCAGACTGAGGGGCTATTCAAGTGCTTACCGTTGGCCTACCCACATCTAACGACAGAACGTTTGAATGATGAGCAAGAGTTTTTACCGATCTTGTCCCAGATAGAAGAACCCTGCACCAGTCCTCATTCAAAGAGATCCGTGGATATAGGAGCCCTTGGTTCCACCAACCTAACAAAAAACTAACCACGGTCGGCCACTTAGAGGCTGGCAACATACCCTTAACTCAGCCGGTTTCTTGGACCTCGGCCCTCACACTCTTTTTCGCTATACTTACAGTAATGTACGAGGCCCACACTCCAAGGCACCTGAGTTAATGTTATTAGTGGATGAGGGTAGCCCTAGCATAATGGCTTTCTGTGAAACATGGTTCCCGGAGAACTTAAAAGACGAGGAAGTTTGTTTGGGACGGCTCGGCTGAATCCGAAAGGATAGACCGGAGGACCCAGGAGGTGGCGTTGCCTTTTACACCTGCCCTTCCTTAAAAGTTCATGAGATTCACTCCCATAGAATTGGCAATAAAAATGTCCTCAGGCGTGGTATTAAGTGCTGTAGATGTCCATGTTTAGTTGGGCTCTTATACCGTCCTCCTGCAGCTGATGCCACGTTAAATGAAATGTTGATACAGTCCATTAGAGAAGCACTGGAACTGAACTTCCCACAGGTCCTCACTTTGAGAGATTTTAACTTTTTTCGACTCTTTACCGCAGAAAGTCCATCTATTGCTCTAAAAGACTTTCGGGCACTGCTACTGGAAAACTCCTTGACGGAGCATGTTTCCCAGTGTACTCACTCGGGACTTTACAGTAAGGCATCCCGACTACATTATATTTTCCCAAATCAGTTCACCGGGGTAGGCAGATTGAATGTTTTCACCCCCTCTTGGTCTGCGTGGCCATGCAGTTATCTCCTTCAGTATTTCCATATCTAAGCCACCCGCTCCCGATCAACCACTAGTCAGGAACTACAGAAGAACTGATTTTGAGATGGTCCGGCAAGATATAGAAGGCTCTGCTTGCTTAAGTTGTGATGACATACTGGATCTTGATACCAGATGGGATCTGTTGAGGAATATAATCCTTCAGACGATGAAAAAACACTGCTCTGATTTCAAGAAGAACCAACAAGTTGTACCCCTCCTGGCTTAAGTCAAACGCACAAACTAATGCGGCGTAAACGGTCATCTTGGAATCTATGGAGGTGCACTAGCAGCCCTATTGACTGGTTAAATTATAAAGACATCCGTAAGAAATGTACAGTAAGGATCAAAAATGACGGGATAAATAACCAGACACAGGTTTGTAGGACCCTGGAGGGGAATCACGGGATACTGTACTCGCTGATGAAACAGAAGAGTAACAGTTCGCTTAGTTCACGGGATCCCGTTAGCTTGGAAATCCTCCATTCTAACTCCGAGGTAGCAAACCTTCTAACCCATGGGTTCCAAAACAACTTCTGTCATTTGAGAGACAAAACCACGCATTCGTCGGACACTCGTATTACAGAGGGGCTAAACCATATAGAGTTTAAACCCTTTATAATTATGGGAATATTAAAGAAACTGAGCCTGAATAAGTCCCCAGGAATCGGTGGGATTCATCCAAGAGTACTCAAAGAGTGTGCTGAAGTTCCATGCGCACCACCAGCAAACCCCTTCAAATGCTCTTTTCAGGAGGGCGGGTTACCCTCTGATTGGAAACGGGTGGCTGTCGCCCCAATTTACAGAGGTGGAAACAGACCACTCGCTTCCAACTACAGACCGATCTCTTTAGTTGCGAAGGTCATGGAGAGAGTCATAAATGACTCGCTACGTGACCACTTCAGAAATCAATCCCAAACGACTATCAGCTTGGCTTTCTACCAGGAAGGTCATGTAACACCAACTTGTTGATAGCTTGGAATAGCCGGACACTCCCTGTCGAGCAGAAAAAGCCATTTTCACATTAATTTACTTGACTTTTCAAAGGCCTTTGACAGGGTAAATCATGATACCCTATGTAAGAAACTGCAGCTCAGGGTTGCGTACAGGAAGTTATTAGTTTGGCTTGCATATCATCTGTACACCAGGGTGCGGTCAGTTGGAGTTGACCCCTCTCTGTCTTATTGGTCCCCGATGCTGAGTGGTGTGTCTCAAGGTTCTATACTGGGCCCACTACTGTTTCTTGCTTTTTATCAAAGACCTGCCAGGGGTCCCTAATTCAGGTTCACTGTTATATGCTGATCTGAAGATTTGGAGGGAAATATTGGAGCCAACGGATATTTCAGTCTTCCCGCAGGACCTCACGAAAATCCCTAATTGGGCTATAGAAAATCAGCCTCCTCACAACTCGAAGAAGTGTCGAATTATGGTGGCTGACAAACATAAAGGCATTCCCAGTTCTTTCTCTCTCGGTGAAATAAATGTCTGTCACACTGACATGGAACAAGATCTGTGAGTTACACTAAACGATACACTAGGAGCTTCAGTCCACTGTCGCCCGCAGCCAATAGGGCTTATGGAATCCTGGGTTTTTTCGGGAACTTTAGGGCGTCTAACTCATTCTCTTTTCACCCCAGTGCATCCTCATCTAGAAAAAAATTCGCTTGTGATGTCCCCATACTTGAAAAAGGACACAGCCATCCTAGAACGGGTATAGAGAAGAGCTATAAAGAAAGCGACTGGGTTACGGCACAAACCATACCCAGACTGCTTAGTAGCTCTTCAGCTGCACCCAGTACAATACCGGAGGATCAGAGGGGATGTGATCATGGTGTACCATATCGCCCATAATCCCCTCCATCCTATCAGATCCCCTCTAAGCTTTAGTCGGAAACGCAACCTGAGGGGTCACCGGTTAAGAATAGAGCACGAGAGAGCACGTACAAAGATCAGTGCTAGTTCATTTGCAGTTAGAGTCTGTAAACTGTGGAATTTCCCCCCTTCAGCAGATGTTGCAGTCCCATCCGCTGATACTTTTAAAAGGAGGTTGGACTCACACCTCGATTTATATGGTACCAATGGGCTGTACTCGAGAAGCTTTCCGCAGATCAGATGCAGTAATACTACCTTGAGACCAGATCAATCAATAATCGTATCTCTATCCTTTCAGGTTTTTCAGAACCGGGAGGATAATTGTGACCACTCCAAACTCAGAACGTATTCCAATAAGACAGACGTAGAACCCAAGGAACCTCTGTTCACCAATTCTACAACACGAAGTTTGAAGTTTTAAGCCATAAGCAGGAAAAGCGGAAAGACTTCTGCGACCTCCGAAGGAGTAGGACTAGAAGAAAGAACCGAGATTCAAGACTTAGGAGCAACAGATCAAAAGCTACAAGTTTCTTCTACTCACAATGTTGATGTTGCATGTTGGATGTCGAAACAGGGTTACTGGGCATGGCGCATCTGTTGAAATCTCTTCGAACCAGGCGGCTTCATTCGACAATTAATTACTCAGCTGGAGGTTTGTTTAGAGCCAGGTTTGTTCATCTTAGGTACTTTTTACTGATTTTAAGACGTCGGCTACCTCCCAGTGGCAATGAATGGGGACCTCTGACTGATATACCGGACTATACTATCATAGGTTTGTTCTTACAAAATAATTCTTTTGACATTATTACGTAGAAAAGCCAAATCCTCGATTCACCAGTGTAGGTCAATGTAGACGTGCTATTGAGCAGTATAATTTCGCTGTAAGCTAAACGGTTTATGCTATTATACCCATCTTTTCAGAATGATGTAGTCCGCTTGACTTCTGAAATGAAACAAACTCAGGAAAGATATATAGAGAATAAAAAGTTTGAGCGTGAAATTGTGGACAAGTTAAAGAAAGAGTGTCTCAAGCCAAAAGGAAACAAAGACATACCCGAAAGTTGATGTGTGTTTATAAATACAAATTCATATAGGAATGAAATATATGTACCTGATATCCGTGCATGGTTCACTTTCACTTGGTTCTTCAAAAAACTCTACTAATCGTTATAATGAGTCTTGTAGTCAAGTTAGAATCCTAATGATTTTCAATCCCTACACACTAGGAATTCTTGCTACTTGACAACAGTATCAAGTTATGATAGAAGTTGTATGGAGATTTTCGTGTAAGCTAAAACTGGTTTTAATGATGATATTTGAAGCTAATTTCTTCAAGTCTTCTGCAGTGTACAGGCTTTAAATGCTAACCGGTACATTTTTGAGTAGCTCAGTGGGGCGAGATGTGTAGAAAAAGCATAAGACATTCAGCGTTCCCTGCCATTCTTGCCGATCGCGAACCATATCATTTACGACACTCAGTAGTTGCATTTCAGTCAGATAGCTTACACAAAAGTTTTAGATCAGAGTCATATTTTGATCTGTTCAACCCCAGGAAAGCTTATTGCTGCACGTTACACATCCTTCAATAGTTATCCTAACACCTATGGGGCGGAATCTGTTGGAATTCAATTAGTTGACTTAAGAATGTGTAGCAACCATCACTTACTTATTCTGCTCGATATAGTCAGTGCCAACCGTTCCTTACATTTTGGAGGTGAGGAGCATCTTAAACATCCTCTTGATGCCTCTTAGTCTTTATAAGACTTCATTTTGTCTACGTTCTCACCAAAAATGTCTATTGTATCTGCATACTTCAAGTTGTTCTCAGGTGGGGAGGCCAATCACAGTGTAGCGAAAAGCAGAGAAAGCGATCTCCATAAATACATCGGGTATAGATGGGAAGTAGACATCAATAAACGAGACGCAGTCCAGACAATTTATGGGATGACTCGTCGTGTACTTTAACTTGGCCATCAGTGTCTCAGTAGGAGACCTTTAAGTTTGACAAGACTACTTTCAATGAGAAGTATTCGAAAGACCTCGTGATTAATAGTGACAAACGTTATCATTGGGTTAGGAAGCGTGGTTAGTATGAGAGATGAGCAAATATGCTCGTGCTCCAGCATGTGGTGGACATATAATTGAGACACTCATAATCAGGTTTCAAACTTGCCGAATGGTACGAACAAACTTGGAACTGGAATTTTTTAACTTCATCTCGTCGAAATCATGAGTCCACATCTAAGCTATAGAATAAGACGGTGGGTTGATACTTAGTAAGTGCTTCCTTTGATAGCCTGTTTTCAGTATCAGCACCAAGAATGTTTTGGGAATTATCCAATTTCGAAAGCAGTAAACGTTTTAAACTCACTCTGTATTCTAGGCGCTTTATCAGTTTGGGTTAGTTCAGTAAGATTTTACTCACGAGAAGTCCATTCTAAGATTTTTGCTCAAGGCAGTCGGGAGACCACCCATATTCGTTTTTTCTCTCGGGATCAGTGTTATTAGCTTACTCTAGGTCGATCAGAGTTTACCCAGGTAAGATACCCATTTTAAGTCCCAGGAGTTAACCAATTCATTATCTCATAAGTGAACATTATTATCTACTAAATGTAGCATTATTTACTGGTCTAAAAAGTTTCTACATTTAGAGTTCCTTTATTCATTATTCTTGCTTGGGCGTCTGTAGTATAGGCCGTTTAACGTGGTTTCACCACATAAGTAACGCAGAAGTCAGAGTTTAAGGGAAAAGAGGAAAGTCAATTGATGAGGTTGTGAACCTTCATCGACTGAGATCGTCGGGACGCATGCTGAACGAGGTCCAGACTGGAGGAAGGCTCAAGACCGTCAGACTAAAATTTGACATCGGTTCGTGATATCTGACTATTGGTGTGAGCCAGTAGGGAGATGCAGACTAACCGGTTGGGGTCGTCGTGACAACAGAAAGCAGTGGCTGGAGATTCTAGGTGATGTGTCTTGGAATCGATGTCCATACCTTATCTTAATCTCTATTAGACTCAGCGTTTCCTCGTTCTTCCTTCCGCTCTTGTATTGCTTTCTGCTGCTTTTGGCCTTTTTTCACCATCTTTCATCTTACTACTCTTACTTGATTTGCTGATATGATGTGTCGCAAATGGGACCGTTACGCAGTAGTGCCTGGTCCTATGTTGATATTCATGATGGCGATGGGTGTCCGTGGCGGTAGCTTCTGTTGGCCACTGATTACTGGACTTGACATCTACAAATGGGTGTTAGAGGGTGATGTGAAAATGAGTACCAATTTTTGGTCATGTACGTTACTGTTGTTCAGTCAGTAAGTCAGTTAACATGAATACTGGCACTGCTGCATAATGGTTCAAGAGGCCACCTCATATCAGCACAGCAAGGTAGAAGGTATCAGGATGAAAGACAGAGAAGTAAGAAAGAAAGTCGAAAGAGGTAGAAAACCATTAAAAGAGAACAAGAAGGGATGAAACTAGTGAAATTCAGTGTGACGTTTGAGACAAAGATAATGTGTAGACGCAGATGCTGCACAAAGATCAACTGTGGGCCATATCATCTACAGCCACCAACCACCGATTTTGGTTGTCACGCAGACTCCAACCGAGAAGTCTTCACTTCCCTACAAGGTTCAGACAAACAGTCAAAGACTCATGGCATGTTTTACTCTGGCTACCTCTAACCTCTTTCCAGATTGAGCGTATTTCAAATAACATTTCACGGTGGAGCAAACAGTGACTAGTCATACGTAACACATTCCCCAGCCATATGAGTGGATGACAGTAGACGAACTCATCAACTGACTTACCTCTAGTGTCTAGGACTCTCCACCTGGCATCTGCGTAACTGATGGCACCGAGATACACGACCCACACTTCGAAAACAACGGTGATCAGACACTTGAAGCTTCATCCTATCCTCTACTTTTAATGAGTATGTTTCAAAGCCATACAATAGACTAGAGCAAACTGAGACGCAGTGCACTCGACCCTCAATAAGTAATTGGGTATCGCGACAGCACCGCAAATAGCAGAAATTGGACAATCACAAGCAAGCCTTTTCTATTCGTACGGAGATTTCTTCGACCAATGATCCATCAGGGCTGATCCAACTTCTCAAGTAGGTGAAGTGACCGACACAGTCATGCACTTCACTCCAAATGTTTAGATGAAGCACCAACTCAGACCAGTCCTGGAGCAGCAGTTGACACTTGGATGGTGAGAAATGCATCTAAACATTTTTGGATTGCCACCTACGGTATCTAAAAGACTCAGCTTATTGTCAGCATCTTTATCCAACAAGACTATGTCACCTACGTAGTTTACGTTTACTGAGTCTGCTGTGACAAGATCAATCTCTGTAAAGTCAAACAAGCAGAGGAAAACTATGAGCGCATTCATAAGGAAGTTCGGTAAGAATGGATGGTGGACATCGTCGATGAATACAACTTGACATAGACTAGTCACCTTAGGCTTAAATACGCCTACTTTCTTCACATCTAAACTATCAAAATCAGGCCTCTTCATAGGTTTGTAACTGCCTTCAAATTATTATCCATACGACGTAATGTGGTAAGTGATAATATACCCTACAGTCAATAGCTTGAACCATGGATCGTTAATGAACTTCGGATCTTAGTCTGACTACACCTTTGTTATTAATAAGTGAGATTTTCTCGTGGCACTTATGCTACTTTGCTAGTTCACTATGTATATAACATTTGAACATGAGAAATTAACTTCCCACTTCATAAGCCGGTTAGTAAAAACGAGAATGTTCAAGAGTTTCTGGTACTTTGTAACAGCTGTCATTTATAGTTGTGACTGTGTATCTGCCAACTTTGATTTTCAAATCGCTTTTCCTCTAAGTGGTATCGATATCATCAATTAGTGAAAGAAAGAAATAGGGTGAAGCATGTATGTATTTTGTTGGTTGTCGCTAGCAGTGGAATCTTGGACGTGGGTTTCTTCTCATTTGGGACTTGTCAGCTGGATGTACTTGGATCCCAGTGAGTGAAGGTGTTCCTATTGGAACTTAGACTAGTCACCTATTGCTTCAAACTCCAAAGAATTATCTACCGGGCTACTGTGTCATAGTAGCAACCTATTATGCAACGGGTACCAGTCGTTATTCATTATCTAAGCTTAGAATGATGCAGCTTCTGAAAATAAATTTGTCGTGAAGGATTTCCTATGTTGAACCATTAGTTTGTGTGAAGTTCTGAAAGTAAAGTGGTGGAGCACCTGCTTTGTAGTACTTAGTCGACCATCAGCTTTACAGGTGGAAGAGTTTGTTTCCTCCCTTCAATTGAATAAGCTGCAATTCTGAAGATTTCTTGGAAATACACTCTGATGAGCAGAAGGTTTAGAAGATAACGAATATGATTTCAAAATATGATCGTCTTGGTTTATTAACCGGAAATTCAACCATTTCGCGTTTAATCTAGCTGATTGGTTAATGAACTTCAGTTAACTCTAGTTCATTCATATTGAAATGCAAAATATCTTGTCGATTCAATCTCCTCTGAACTTATTATCGTAACTGAAATGCTGTCCGTAATCTTGTGTAGATTCGTGCAATAGGCAGTAAGCCACCCGTATTTTGTGATGGTGAACGATAATGTCCGGTTGTCCACACCTCGGTAGGTGGAGCGGTGTTCAAACTTCTCACTTGGCATTCATTATATGGAAGTTGGCGATAAATTGAGCAGGACTGATACTTCTTAATGTTAGTATGTGTTTTAATATATGTAGTTATAACAGGAGATTTAGCCTATCTTAGCGAATGTTGATATTCTTCCTTCGGTAAGTGACCAGTTCTAAACAGTTTACAGATTTTGACAAGTGGTTACACCAGTGACAAGGAGAAATCTTACTCATTAGCTATAATTCAGGACTGTGAAAGTTTGTTTAAAAGGAATACCTGAACAAATCATAGCCTTCTGAAACAATACCGTTGGACAGTGGATATCTTAGAATTTGTATTAGAAGAAATCTGTTGATTTGAGCCATGTAGGGCGATGCAAACTAGCCGGTTAGGGTCCGCGGGACAAGAGAAACCAGTAGTCGAAGACTGACTCTCGGTGGTGATATGGCTGAGAATCGATGTCAGTGGTGCAGATGCATATACACATTATCCTCACACTAACCGCTATACTCAATCTCATCATCTCACTCTTTCTTCTACGTTACTACTTCCTACCTCTATTTCTTTTGATCGATTTTTCTTTTCTTCTTCATCTTCCATTTTATTGCCTTTTTACTTGGTGTGTTGATATGAGGTGTGGCAAATTGGACCATTATACAGTAATCCCTGATTATATA